GATATAGACTCAAGTTTATGTTTTTGATCAGTGTCAAATTCTGAGTCTATTTAGTTTTGTCTGTCCGTCCCAACGATAACTCAAAAACCAATTGAGCTAAGTTCACCATTAATTAATAAGCTAATAATTTATTACAGTAAATTCCAGATCGTATTTAAATTGGATATGATCGGGGTACTGGTTCGGGTAGCTGCCATATAACTTCCAAATTAATTTGGCTATATCTCAGAAACTAAAATAGCTTTGGTATTGAAATTTAACACAATCGAATATATTAGGAAGGCCAATGGGTTAGATAAAAGCCATTGAAATTGCTTGACTCTTTCTGGTAGCTGCCATACAAATTCAAAAGTTATTTAACTATATCTTATAAACTGTAAAAGCTGTGGTATTGAAATTTCGCACAAGTAAATATATAAGTACGGCCGATGTATTGGCAACGATGGCAAATTTTCGCAAAATAATTTCTTACAGTAAATACCAGATCGTATTTAAATTGGATATGGTTGGGGTACAGGTTAGGGTAGCTGCCATATAACTTCCAAATTTATTTGGCTATATCTCAGAAACTATAAAAGCTGTGGTATTGAAATTCACACAATCGAATATATTAGTAGAGCCAATGTGTTTGATAAAATTCGTTGAAATTGTTTGTCTCTTTCTGTTAGCTGCCATATACATAACTTTAATTGTAGTTTGGCTATATCTTAGAAAATATTGAAAAAAAAGTACTGAATTTTTGCATAATTTAATATGGTAATATTAATTTATACAAAATTAATAGGATAACAAATTCGTATGGGTATCACAGAGTTCACACGGTTAACTCTGTTTTTTCTCGTTTTGTATTATTTTTTGTACCGCTAAGTAGTAGTGTTTCTTCAATTTGAAAAAAAAATAAATACATATAAGTACATATGTATGTATGTATACATCTTTAAATCAATCTAATATTCAAGAAATTTCTACTCGTGTAGCACATGACGTGTATAATATAATATTGGGAATATTATATGTACATGTTGCGTATATGTGTAGATGCAAACATATTTCTAGTTACAACGTGAAATTAATGTATGCACACATGCACATGTACCTACTTAAATAATCTGTTGTGACCTTAAACATTGATTTTTACTCATTACCTTGATATTATAATGATTAAATAAATTGTACATTTACTTTTTTGCTAGCGTATGTATGTATGCATTCATGTACAAATTGAAAACAGGTAATAATAATAGGTTAAAACTCTAAAAACAATCAAGGATGAACTTAAAAAATATTAGCCTTTAAGCAAAAAACTGGTTTACAAGAAATTTTCAAAAATTTTCATACTTGTATATAGATAAAAAAATTATAAAAGCCTATAATAAAAACTACGTAGTTGGAAAGGTAAAGTTTATTGCTGATGTATGTATTTATGTAAGGATATATGCATTTATGTAGAGATGTATATGTGGTATGTACGTGCACAGGTATATGCTTGTACGAATGAATATATCACTATATGTATGCTCGTAATGTTCGTAATTTATTAAGACCTAATAAAGCAGTAATTAAACTGAAACAAGATTAAGAGTCTGATTGCGTATCTCCCTATTTTACCCACTAAGTGAAAAAAAAGTGAATAATTATTATTATATTTGTATAATGTAATTTTCGAGTGAGAAGAAATATTTCGTATTGCGTGTATCGTTTTTTTCTAAAACGTATACAAAATCTATTCACTTTGTTTTTGAAGGCTTTCAGTTGATAATTTGAGAAATAAAGTTTGGTTAAACCAATAGTTTGTAATGTAGCACTTTTCCCTTCAGCAAGCGAAAATACTATTTTTAAGAAAAATCCATGTACATACTACATTATTAAAATTATTTTCATTCAGTACGAATACATTTCAAAGATTGCATACATTTAGAATGAGCACTAGTATGTAACCTTTGAAATAAAATGGAAAAAAAATTAAAAGGCTTTAACATAATGTTCGAGTTTAAGAGTTATTAGCGAAAGTTAAGAAAATAATTATATTTTTTAATGGCATTATATTTACCGTTAGCTTTTTGCATTTGTAGAAATGTGGAAAAGCCTGCTCTTTCGGAAATATAAGTTATCAAAAATTCAAATGTTACAAATTTTAAGAGGCGTTAACTTCAGAGAGGGTGAAGATGGAAAACATTTTCTTCTACCTAAATAAATTATTTATATTAGTGTCTAAAAGCTGCTAAAACTTCAGACTCCTACAACTGAATCTAGAAGGGAAACGATAATAAAAATTTAAAAAAAAAGGATTGTAGATAACGGCAAATTTTAACGGTCATTTTGTTTTTTTAAAGTTCAAATATGCTATACCACTGTAATAAAAGCTTATCTACTCTTCGGCCTTTACAGAATTTAAAAGATGCTTACAGGTGGTTTCGTTACATTATATAGTCCGAAAATCGCGTTTTTACTACTTTGAAGGACTATAATTTTTAGAGGGAGATAGATAAAAATTTTCTTCAATCGAAATAAGCTTTCAGTAAAAATCTATGTACATATAAAATTTTAGCCTTAACGGGCTAACGAATAGAGTGAATCTAATTAGCACTTATTTCAAAAATTTTTTGATGAGTAAACTTATTAGAAAAATGAAATACCTATTAGAAAAACACAGAATTTTGAATTAAAGGTGAGATGAAAAAGTGAGATCCACAATAAGACTGTAAATTGCTACAGTCACTTGATGCGGTTTATAAATTAACATATTTTATATAAAAATCGAGTTTCATAATACCAGCGAATTTCTAGTATTTTCTTCCGGAATTTCTCAATAATAGGAAAAACAAGGATGAAAAATGAAATATATAGTGAAAATAAAATTTAAAATAAAACAAAAAAGAAATTTGATGTGAATAGCACATAACCGATCATGTTGTGCATTTTTTGAATAAAATTTCCACTAAATGTGGTCCACTAATTAAGGGAAAGTGTTGCACAAGTTAATAAAATGTCCCTGAAATTTCACATTTGAAAAAAGCAAATAAGCCTCTACTTTAAAACAAATGTTATTTCGCAGCGCTAAATGTTAATTTGGTACTTCACTTTCTGTCAAAATTTTTTTGTTTATTTATTTATTTTATTTATTATCTTAAAAATGGCCTTCTCAATTACTTTATACACGGATTGTAGAAATTATATTGTAATAATATTTAAAAATGAGCGTGAGTGACAAAAAATAAAAACTCAGCGCAAAATTTCAATTACAAAGGACTAATGTCTTTATATCTAACAAGTCCCAATGCTCAGAGAGAAACTTGAAAGCACACCTTATTTTATATGGCCTTTTTTAAATCGAAGTGGCTATTTTTTGAGAAGAAATATTAAAATAAATTCACACTTATTATAAAGCAGGTAAAATTTAGAACATATATTTGAAAAATCAAAAAAATATATTAATATTTTCATTGATAATTATTTTAAAATTTAAAAAAAAAGCGGAAAAACAACAAACACAACCTTCGCCTTCAACGTTTTATTTGTTACTGAAAGCATTTCATTATTTTTAAGTGAACAGCTTTTTTTTCTCATAGGGTAAGTTAACGCAAGATATGGGAAGTACCTGTGGTGTCAAGTTGAAAATATAATTAATGAAAGATAATTCTTAAATATTGATATAAATACATAGTAAAGAAAAAATTTGAAGAGGGAATTAGAAAATAATATCTAAAATACAATCAAATATTATTTGTTAAATACAAATTTTATATAAACTTCAAAATTTTACCACTATTTTTATTTGAAAAAATATTAAAAACTTACTATCATTTATATCAATTACCTAAGAAAAAAAAATATTTAAAATGTTTGGAAAAAACAATCATATATTTTTATGACCGGATTTGAATATTTTTCTATTTTTGAAATAAATGGTATTTTAACAAATGACTCGAAAATTCCGACTGTAAAATAACAGGTATTTTAAAGTTTTTGTTCAGGTATTTTAAAATTCTTTCCGTTTAGAATTAAGATAGGTCATACATACACATGCAGAGACATTTTATAAATAGATTGCTCTTGTTTACCTGCTAATAAAATATGAAAAAAGAGCACAGTAAAATTTTTGAAGCACTCAATATAACATGTTTGAAGTAGTTTTAAAATAATTATTTAAAAAAAAATTTATTGGAAGTAGGTACATACATATTTATTTTTAATAACTTAAAAACTAACTGAAATTATTTGAAACAATTTTATAAGTAACGTATAAATAACCGAAATGAGATAATTCAAATTGTTGAAATGTGTCAACCTATATTACTTTTAATAACATTTTTGTTAGCCGACACTACTCAACTTGCCTTATTGGGAAATACAAAATGTGCATAAAAAATCATACATCCTTCCTCATTAACATTTGAAACCATACTGAAATATGAATTTGAAATTTTTTATCATTTTTTCTTTCCTCCTACCTTTCTTTCTTTTTCGTGCAATAGAATTTAAATGGGAAGCTTTTTAAAAAATGTGTATAATATCCTGAGATTTTTTAAAATATTAATCTCTTTTTTACGTAAAAAAAAAGAAAAAAATAATAAAAAATATGACACGATCAGTGGCATTTAAAGAAAAAACCAACAACGAGGCCAAAAATTCGTAACATTTCGTAAAAAAAATTGAGTATTGGGACTTGTTAGATATAAAGACATTACAAAGGACAATCAGAAAACGAACGTTCAAAATAGTAAAACATAATAAGAACATAATTCATTCATATTAATGCAATTTATTATTGCTCTCTAAAATAAACTTAGATTTACATTTTTCAGAGTGATCACTTTTTAACTAAAATATATTGTGATCACAGCTGCCATCTTTCTTAAAACATTTCGTTTCGTTGAAGTTAACTTTAGTGCGATCCAATTACAATACCTCTCTTATTATATACGCAGCAGTCGGTAAAAAAAAAACAAGAATTTTAATTCAAAATATAAACCACAAAATATACAAGTTCGAAATTTAGTTGAGTTTATAACATTGATCGGTGCAGTAGTGAAATATGATATGTGTGAATGTGAAGTGCCTACAAATCGTATTAAAAGATTTTCATGAATACTATTGCTAAAATATCTTAATCAGTTGCATAGGTACAAGGAACGTCTAAAGAATAACGTACATTGTTTTTTTATCACATTATTTTATTGTAATTCGTCATAATTATAAAGATAATCGTAAATAAACAGACCGATCTCGATCATATACAAATAAATTAAATAGAATAAGAAGAAAAAGTGATTGTTTATAAAAGCAAATAGAGAGAAGTAAAAATATTAGTTTTTTGAAAAAAATAATTTTAATAATAAACTATAAATTAGTCTATAAAATTAAAAAAAAATAAAGTCAAATAAAATGATTGTTATTCTTATTGTAGTGAATGTTCGTGAATTATTCAAAAAAAAACGTGAAAAATATTTAATTACATACTTAAATATATGTGCATGTATACATGCATACGCACATATAAAATTTTAATACTAACTATAAAATTACTAGTTTTATATAAATGTTAAATAAATATGTAAACTTTTTTCTTTGAAATGTGTGCATCCATACATACATATATGCATTAACATTCAAAAAAATCTGATCTTAACAATCTAAGCCATCAGAGCAAAAGTACAACACTAACACTTCCAATTACTTATTTAGAGTTGGTTTATTTTTCTCTTATTACAATCGTTTTGACTTATTTTGAATTGTTGCACACCTCTAGGGTAATAAATGTCAAAAACTGATAAAATAAAACGATTTCTCGATTATTTTCCAAATAAAAATGTCTGTCGGAAAAAACGTGCATAACTAATCTTCCTTATACTACTCGTGCATCATATATTAACGCGTGGAACAGTATTGTTGTAGTCAATTCTGAAGAATTCTACATGTTAAAATGGCGAATCTTATGACAGTATGCAAACGTTCACTATTCTATTACTATTGGAAAATAAATAAGATATGTAAATATTAATGCTAAATCCGAAAAAGTCCAATGGGGCAAATGGAATTATCTTCTAAATAAGTTTTTGTGCATAATTTCTTCATTATTACTTACGCAGTTTTACACTGATCGATTAAAAACTTAAGTTTCCATTAAAAATAGCTTGACTTGTTCAACTGTCAAATAACCCTAACAGATATTTTAAATAAATGTATACAATATTTGGGAAACTATAAAACTGCATGAAATTTGGGAGTTGTGTGTTATAATTATATGGGGTTTTCATTCTTAATAATTTGAATTGAACAAATTTTACAATATAAAAAAAATTTATAGCAGTTTATTTTTCAATGTTTTGATTTGAAAGTACTTTAACCTCTTCTTGATACTTGTTTTACGTTTTTATTAACAATGATTTAATTTTATTAAAAGATCCTCATTATTGGAAAATAAATTTTGGGAAATTAAACATGTAAATATTACAGTCAGTCGCCATTCTTTGTACACTATTGGTACAAAGTATAGTATATGAACAATAATAGTATATTAACTCGTATATGAAGAATAATAGTATATGAACTCGTGCTTCCAAGTCCTGAAGATAAAAGTTAAGTGATATACTTACATATATGGTTTCCCACTAAGCGAAGAAATTAATAGTACATTATATAGGTACAACAAAATGATAAGAATAACAAAAAATTTTATTACTCTTATATCATTTATTTATTATTTATTTACTTCACATAAATAATAATATAAATTTATTAATATTAGTAAATTTATTATTATTTATTGTACATTATTTATATATTATTTATAATAAATCATTAATATTTATTACATATTAATAAATATTTTATTATTTATGTATATAAGCGATTATTTAAATCAAAGGTGTTCATCAAATTTATTTAAGGAAACATTACACACAACATAAAAATATTATTGTTAATTATATTTGTTAATAATATTTATAAAAATGAGTAAGTAGTATTATGTAAATAAATATTATTGAAATAAATTTTAATTTTATAACACAAACAAATATATGTACTAAAATATAAATTAAAATAAACAGCATGTACTAAAATATTAATCCATTTAACACATTTTTAATTATTATTTATTAAACATTAATAATTTTAAAGCGTTGTTTGGGGCCTTAATCTCTCTACAATGCTAACGAAGAAAGATGCTAACGAATCACAAGTGAAGTGTCAGAAAAAAGCTCCTAAAAGCAGTAGAATTATCATCAAAACTTTCTTTATAATATCCCTGGTGTATTCTGACTCACTAATTTGTTTGATTTATTTTTATTATAAATTTAGTTTTATATGTTATTTTAGTGTATGTGAAAGAACGATGTGGTAATAATTAAAATTTATTAAGAAAAACGATTAAACCTGATATATGTATATATATATCTGAGTTAAGTGAAATATACACTCTTATAATTTTTACAAAAAGATAGGAAGAACCTTGGAACAAAGATAAAGCTTTGTGTAATATATTTTAGTTAAAAAATCTAAAACCAATAAATGATCAAAATTTATTTAAAATATTGGAATGTTGTAATTTCATTTATGAAGAAAAACAGAACCAATGTCTTCTTTATCTTAACAAAAAATTTTTTGTCGTGTCACATTATATCTTACTTTAATTAACATAAAATTTCATTTCTAAGCTCTTGATCGATTTTGTATAATTTTTTCACTTAAATTATTCAAATAATATCAGCAATAGCTTATTTTATTGAATATTTTGTTCATATTTTTTGTATTTCAGAAGAAAAGCTAATTAAAAAAATACTGAAACAAATTTAAATTGAATTGTATGGCTAATTTCACACATTTTACATATAAAATTTTATAGTATGAAGTCAATGGAAGTTTTGAAAAAATTTAATTTTAAATAATACCTTGGAAAAACCTAATTATTTTCAATTTTTTATAGTAATTAAAGTAGTTTTTTAACTTCAAGTTAAACGTGTCTTACGATATGTGTGTTTATTACACATTTTATATTATTATTCAAATATTTTCTATACCTATCATAGCAGCAAAATAATGCTACATTTCAATTATAAATTTTATTTGGATTAGTATAAATTTAATTAAATTCTTACAACATTCTTAAAGTAATTTGCAACAATACGTTCACGTGGCATTAATTTTGATATTCTGAAATGCAGGCAAAAAGTAGATGATAACTTATTAAATTACATATTTAATGTACAATCCTTAAATATGACTTTTCTATTTCGAGTTGATAATTTTGTTAGAAGTAAAATTTATAATGCTATATAACGTACATAACAGAAATAAAATAGTAATGCCATATCTATCAGGCCACCAAGCTGAAATTATTTTCCGAAATTTTGATCCGGAAAAAAATTACAAAACAGTAAATTCTTAATGTTTTATGTTCTCAAAGTATGCCGCTTGAAATATTTTTTTATCTTATTATTTAGTATAGTTTTATAAGCAATCTAGTTTAAAATAATTATTTTTTTGATTTTTTATATTTTTAAATTCTATTTCTTGGAATATTTGGAAGAGAAGAAAGGTTGTTTGCGCTAAAAATTGCATTTTTGTTTTAAATGAATTCTGACACCCTTTCCATTTAAACTATAAATTGGGAATTTCTTTTTAATTTGATTTCTGAACTTGATATATGGTATTAGTAATTTATATGAAAATTTCAAATTATTTTTAAAATATGTATGTATGAAATAGTTCACATGTATATATGTATGTAATTTACAAAAAAACAATTTTCATATAATTTTTATGGAAATTGTATTATTGTAAAATTGTAAGTATTAATATCAGATTTTTAAATCAATTTAAATATTTTTTGTGCTAAAAATTCTTTTTTTTTTCTTATAAAAGGACTAGACCTTAATAAAATGAAGCAAGAAGTACATACATATGTATGTACATGCAACAAATTAATTTTTTTTATTATACTTATGTAGCGGGATCGATTGCATATGGTTATGGGATAATGATGATTAAAAATATTGAAAATTCAATTTGATTAGAAAAAATGGGAATAAATTTAAAAAAAATTTTTTATTTTTAATATGAAAATAACAGAACTAAATTTAGTGCTTGATTATCTTTCCACTTGGAAGACAAGACAAATTATTTTGTTTTTTCAAATACCTTTTCCTAGAAAATACACCGCCGATTTTTTTTGAATTTTGAATGTTAGATATTCAAATAATATGAAAAATTATTTAAAACAGGTTCAAAAATATATACTTTCAATTAAATACATATATTGCTTTTTAAAAAAAATTGCATTAAAACTTGCATAGTAGAAATTTATCAAGAGGCAACTCGTGATCGCGGGAGAGACTTGAATGTCATCGATAATTTTAAACATGAATTTCAATTTAGTCATGTATGGTACCAAGAGAAAGATTTTTGGAGAAGCTCACTTAAAAATATAAAAGCCAGGCCGCAGCAAAGCGCGATGGTTTATCAAATTTTGAATGAAAATTTATTGCCAAGCATTAATAATTGAAGGATAAATATACATAGATTAATTGGGAACCAACTTTTATTAAAAACGTATTTGTTAAGCCCAAATGGAAAGTTTAAAGCACTTTAGTAGCTTTGATATTTTAATATATACCTATATGTATGCGTACACACTTATGTATATTTGAACTTATATGTACACACAAAAAGTGATTGCAAGTTTTTGGTTAAAACCAAAGTATATCTACTAACAAGTAGTTCGACTCTCCGTTTACATCACACTAATGCAATCACTCACCAATTTTTCTATACAAAAAATTCTCTTAGTTAAAAGAGTTAAGCAGTATACTTTCTTATTTTCATTTTTATACACATAAGAATTTTTGGGAGAGGGAAAGAGTACGCAATAGTTGCCAACCTGTTTTTTTATAATGTAATTTTGAAAGGCGACACTTTATTATTTGTTCCTATATAAAGTATAGGGAAAAATATTAATAAATTTAAAAGCGACACAATAATTTCTGTAATTCATTCCAGTACAAGGTGGGAAAAAAGATGCATTCGTATTATAAAAGCGAAGCGGAAAAAAAGTGTTTAAAAAAAATTATTATAATTTATAAGAAAAATAATAAAAATAAATTTTAAAAAGACGTATAATATCAAAAACAATTTTAAGTAGTTGTGAAAAAAAAAAATTTTTTATAATAATGGGTAAACATTATTTGAAGTGTTTGGGATGAAAAAAAGCCGACACGAAAATTTCATTTGTTGCCAAAAGATGTGAAGAGATATATACTTTTGAAAATATTTTTAATATTTAGTGTTAGGCATTTGTAATTAATAAATAAAATAAATGAATTATCTTTAAATTTTTTATTTTTATTTCAATCTTAATAAATTTAGAACATATTTCCCATGAATTGTTAATAATTATATTTCATAAAGGAATCAGTATGCATACACCTTTTTTTTCCTTATAAATTACTTTATTTCTATGTCCTGAAATTTCAAACTCTTTTGCTTTCATACATTCGAATTAAAAAATGAAATATAAATTTTGTTATTTCAAAATAAAAATAACAAAATTTTTACCTAACTTAATTTAATTTTATTTTAGTTCAATGTTTTTGATACACTCGTTTGTTTACAATATTTTGTTTCTTTCTTGCTTACACAACTCTTATTACCATCTATTTCTAAAAAAAAAATGGAATATTTTAAGAATTTGGAAGCAAGATGCAAATGAAAACTAACGGAATGGAACGAGTCGAATTACTTATTAGTAGATATACTTTGGTTTTAACGATCAAAACCATGGCTATACGTACGAAAGATTAAAGAAACACAACATGTTGTATTCTTCTTTTTTGTTTTAAATCAGGTTTTGACCTTAAAAACAATTTTTCATATAATTTCAACAAATCGGAATTAGCAACTTTTTCAGTAAAAATTATTAAGTCCTATTAGTTATAATTAGTGACATAGCTGGGTTAAGGTCAAATTTAAATAAAATTTTTATTATCATTGATTTTTCTTGATCTGATGTATTAGCATATTACAAAAAATTTTATCATAAAAAACAACGTTTTTACCATGAAAAATTCATAAATTTCTATACGGTAAGCAAACACTATAAATTGTGAAAGCTTTAAAAAACCTTGTCTATAAAGCGATTTTCAAAAATATTATTTTTAGAAAAACAAAATTAACGTGTAGGTATGCATAAATGCATAATGTTATTTCATAAATAACATTATGTTTATACAGTTTACACAGCACTTTGAGTTCCATACTTATCGGTGAACAAAAAAAATTTAACTAAGTCCCATATGCATCACAGATGTAATTCTTAAATTTGAAGACACTACGATATATACATATAATTAAATCGTAGTATTATTTTTATCTAAATTAATTTTACAATAGCTCATAATAACGTTTTTTTTTCTTTGGCTAAAATTAAATTGATCTTAAATGGATGTACTCAGCTTGTTATTCCTTTTAGGTTTGGTGGTGAAAACTAGCTCTACTAAACATTTCATATTTGCTAATCGATAGTGCATTGGAACTCAACGTGTTAAAACAAATTTTTAATTTTCTAAGTAAATTATTACACAAACCAGCAAAGTTTGATCAGCACATAACCGACCGAAAGTTTTATTGTCTTGTTGCATAAGGTTATGAAAATACCTCCTGAATACTTTTTTCAAATTTTAGGGCCTCTAGTAATAGCTTTGAGTTAACATACCTAGAAAAATGTAAATTTGGCTCTTAGTAGAGTTTCGCTTTGTGCTACTCGAATTCCCTGAAAAGTTCGTCAGTTACTTCCAGTAACTTGCCGAGGTCTGACATATCCCAAAAGTTGGCCAATCGTGTCATAGCCAAAATAGACTTATATACATAAATTTTTATCAAAATCTTTTCAACTGAAATTGAGATACACGCGTGCGTACACAAACCGACAGATCGATATATTGCTAAAAATAGTTTATATACGCTTCCCTACTATTGAGATGTGTGTTTCCACCGAAAATCGATAAGGGAAATTTTGTGTGATCACATAGCTTCCATTATTGTACGATTAATACAATAATTATTTATAACTTCACTCTCATATAACTTTACATGTATATCTCTATAAATTATTATATATAGGTACATATAGGTATGTATATGTTAAGGTAGCGCAAAACTTTTTGTAGGAAAACTTTCCATGAGATTTTTACACACTTACAAAACACCGATACATGCCAACATGTTATAATAATAAGTTTATATATGCTAAAACTCGTTTTAAATAGCTTAACCTAGAGAAATAATATTTAATTAAGGTCACGGAATAAAACAATAATAACATAATTAAAATACGGAATAAAACAAAGAAAAACTAAATTAATGTTTTTAAACAACCATCACTATAAGAGCCTACTTTTAGAACTCAAGAGATGGGAACTATCAAGTAAAAGCTAACTCCAATCTTATTAGAAAAATGAAATATTCATTAGAAAATCAGAAAATTCTGATTTGAAAGTGAATAAAAAGTGAGTTAGAAAAGCGAAATATAAGATTAGGCTCTTAATGTTATTTGGTTTGGATTAATTCCAAACATTTTCTACCTAAAAAAAAGGCGGTAAATATACATATTGTACAATTTTTTTCTTGTTTAAATTTTGTGGCTCTGTAATTTACAGTGATGAAAAGATCATGAATAAATATGCAAATCATACACAGAATGTGCAAATCAATTTTATCTGACAACCTTATGTATATGTTTCGGATCTACAGAATAACGCTGCCGTACAGTAAAATATAAGTTATAAGAAATATTAGATTTGCTAACATTTTTATGATCTTAGAAATATTCATATTTTTTGATGAAGTTCAACATAAAGTTCAGAGGTCAGGCCGTTTAACATTAAAATATATTTATTTCTGAGGAGGATTATTTACTTTAGTGGTAGTACTCGAAATAAGGCAGTATTTACAAAATCACAGTTTTCATAAGAACGATATAAAGTACACATGACAACTACTTAAACAGTGTAATATCTATAAACTTTGCAAAAAATATTAATAAATCTCTCAGTAAACTCAAAATAAAGCATACAAAAACAAAACCTTCGCGACGTTATTTTCTCATTTTATATTCTCTTCATTTTTGCTTTATTTAGAGTCATAGTATGATAGACACAAAATATAGTGAGACTAGTAAAACAAAAAACAAAATTTAAAGAAATAAATACATACATATATTGTGTATATAATTTAGCAGTTATACTTTATATTATGAAAATTATTTCAATTTCAATCACTCACCAATATTTCTATACAAAAAATTCCCTTAGTTAAAAGAGTTAAACAGTATACCTTCATACGTTTTTAATAAAAGTTAATAAATACGTTTTTAATAAAAGTTGGTTCCCAATTAATCTATGTATATTTATCCTTCAATTATTAATGCTTGGCAATAAATTTTCATTCAAAATTTGATAAACCATCGCGCTTTGCTGCGGCCTGGCTTTTATATTTTTAAGTGAGCTTCTCCAAAAATCTTTCTCTTGGTACCAAAAGTTGGGAGGCTTCGCGGACGGTCGAATGAAGTTTATATGTGAAATTTCAAGTACATCTGTTGAATATTTTATTCATGATGATCAAAAATCTAAAACAGGTCCGCTAAAAAGTACAGTTCCCGAGGCCTGATATATCACAAAAGTTGATCAATCCGTGCCATAGTCGAAATTAGCTTACATATAAAATTAGGCCTTACATATTTGAAATTTATTTCAATGTTTATAACGAATTTTTTGTTTTTTTGGTTAAGAAATGCAAAGCTATTTTTTTGAAAAAAAAATACACATTTTTCTAAAATACCTTATATGAAAATACCCTTTTTTCAATAACAGCGTCCACTTTAAAAGAAAACAATATTGGAACCCTACTCCTAACTTGTTGCTGAATCATCTTGTATTCTTATGTACATTTTCATATTTTGAGTTTTAGTTGTTGCAATTTCAATTGTTATTTCTTAAAAATAATACTATTGTTGTTCGGAACATAGTGTCAAAATTTATCATTTCTCGTCTTCTTTTTTTGATTGAGGTAGAAATAAATTACATGCTGGTCCAATTTATAATTTAGCAATTTAATTTTAAGACATCAAATTTTTCTCAAGCAAAAATATTATAAACACATAAAACGCAATTCAATTTTATTTTGTATTAAAATTATATTTAAAATTATTCGTGCTTACAGAGGTATCAACAATGTTAACGGAAATAGACGAGCTACCCTCGATACGCATGGGAGATGTAGGTAAGCATAAGTGTTATTTGAAACATATGTTTTTAAACTTAAGTGTTTGAATAATAGATTATTTTTATTTAAGTTCTACGTTTAGAGCTAGACGGTCCAAATGAATTTTCACGGGGAGTTGCTGAAAAAGAATTGAGGGAAACAAATGAAGTGAAGAAGAAAGCTATAGATGAACTTAAAAATTTATTACAAAGTAAGATTTAAAAAAATTTATACTTATTAAAGAAAAAAAAAAACATTTTTTTCTGTCATAAATACAACAATGTCTCGTTGAAGACTGCAAAATATCGTGTGTTTGATTGGGAAACACGTTTTTTTACATGTTTGAAGTTAAAAAAATTAATTTTAAATTTTGAATCGACTAACTTTTTTAAATTAAATCAATGATTATTTTAAAAAAATACCCGTAAATAAGAAACATTAGAGTAATTGAATGATTAAAAATTACAAAATAGAAATTAATTGCAAAAAAAAACATATGAGAAAAAAAAATTAACATTAAAGTTCGACATAACAATTTTTTAATTTGAATCAGTGTTAATTAATTTACATGCATTATTTATCAACTACGTTATTAGTAATTAGTTACGTAAAACTTCTATTGAATTTCTATTTCAATTTAATCGAAAAATTCTCATTCTTAATAAATTATTTAATGATAAATATGCGGGTAAAAAATTTAATTTTAAAGTGTAAATAAAAGGTAGCTATGTATGTACTTATGTATTTGTCATAAAAAAATGTAATTTACTTAACTTTAAATTATTAAAACAAAAAGTTAAAATTGAGAAAGCTATTTTCTCAGTTTGTTAGGTTTTTTTTGTTACGTACGTTGTGTGTTGTTACTTCAAAATCAACACGTGTACATATTTTTGTACATATATTGAAAGTTATGTTAAAGTCATAAACATAACCAGGATACAAGGATGCACCTCCAAAATTGGCAACTCTAACATTTTGTCTAATTACGGCGAGTAAAACATAATTAAGATGCAAAACAGCACATTCAAATTTGGCACTTTCGGAAGCTTTTATATAGTAATAATAAAAACAACAATAGCAGCTTAAATCTACAGTGAAGTCACAAATTTTTATTAACGGCATACTCGAAATTAGAAAAGAAAGCAGTTAAGGTTTATTGTTTATTAAATTGTAACTTATTGTAAAAATTTTATACAGCATCATGTTTTTTCAGAAAATTATTGGTGTTATACATGTACATTTTTATTTTTCGTATGGTTTAATATGTAATTAATATGTTATATGTGTACATACATAGCTAGGTACGACTGAAAATTCTTGATTTATCATTATTTTATAATTAAGTTGCATAGTTCTAGAAATTGTTCTAGATATATTATTTCTAGATATATTTTATAATATATGTATACATACTATATATATTTTTTATTTTTCAGAGGAAACCGATTTAATGTGCCCATTGGAAAACGAGGACTGGTTGGTTAGGTTTTTAAGACCTACTAAATTTTATCCAGAAAGTGCTAAAGAACTGGTAATGAAATTAATTTCTATCTTAATAATTTCGTATAAGATTTTTAAAAAATCAATTTATTTTCTATTGAAATTATTTTTTAGTTTGAAAAAAAAAACTATTTGTAGGTCCTTTTCTTTTGCTTAATATTTTTTGATTTTTATTTTCGTATATTAGAAGAGAAACAAGCAATTAAAGGCACTTAATTGCTCCTTTTTAGGTTAACTGAAACCTCTAACTGAAATCTTAAAAATATTTTTTTACATAATTATAGATATTTGATTATTAAAAATTTATTTTTGCAGATTTATTGGTTAAAATATGTTAGTTATATTTCTATATGTACATAAATGTAACCAATAAAAACAAATCATTATTTCTGTGCTATGATTACCGTCAAACCTGAAATAGTTTTATAGCATAGAAACAAAATTTTTATAATACTTTAGAAATATAGACATGCTACGATTTCCGAATGTACATTATATATTTAATAACTTTTTTTGCAGATTTCACAGTTTTAATTTGTCGAAGATATTTTGTAATAATTCTAAGTTAGCACTGATTATTTAAAGTATTCAGCTGATTATTTAAAGTTTTTAATAAAAAAAAACATACTTAGAGTTTGAAAAATTTACCCTATGAAAGTTTTTCAATTCATAATTTACATTTTAAATGGCAATGAGGAATATCTGTATCGATTTATTTTTTATAAATTTTGGGTCGATTTATTTTCTAAATTTTCAATAATATTTACAATCGATTTATTTTCTATATTTTTAATAAAATTTATTTTAAATTCTTCTTAAAAACTTCCTTCTTTTGGCAATTTTTTTTTAAAAACAGCAAAACAAAACCCCAAAATTTATTTATATAAAAATATTTTTAGGTATTTTTTTTATATAAATGTCTTAAAAAATAAAAAGACGATGATAATTTTTTTTCTTCATATTATACATTTTTTTAAAAACTACAAAAAGAAAATGAGAGTTGCTCTCTCTACGCGGTAGAGAGAGAGTTGCACTACCATGGTAATAATATAAACACGTTACATTTTTCTAAATTTATTTATATAGTTGAAATAACAATAATTAAAATATGAATAAAAGAAAATAAAAAAAAAAATTAAAAAAAAAAACAGTAAAAGAAAATTAGGTAAATCAATAACATATTGTCATATGCTTATTCGTTATCATTAGCAAATTTTATTTTTTAAAGGTTACTTTAAAATAAAAAAGAGGTTATTTTAAAGTAAAAAAAATCTGATGTGGTCAGCACATAACCGACCGCATTGTGTATTGTCTAGTTAAATGAAAGTGTTACAGAATATTATAAAAATGTCTGTTAAATACTTCTTTCCAATTTTTAGGACATTAGTAAGCTTATAGTTAACATACTTAGAAAAATGTAAATTTGACTCTTAGTAGAGTTTCGCTTTGGTCGGTAAAAAGGTTAATTTCCAGTAAAAATAGTTTAATTAAATGCCAAAATGGTTTAATTTAATGGAAAAATGCTATATATAGATGTACATACATTATACCAAAAAAAAAAGAATTTAAGAAATTTCAACTTTTAGGTGTATATATACATTCAGGTTTTCAATTGCTATTTGAAATAATTCCCATTTAAATTTTTAACTTTAAATTTACCGTAAAGAAAAAAAAATATGTATTACAAAGTACAAACGACTTACACTTACCTTTTTAACACTTACCCTATTTACTCAGTTGCTATTTTAAGGACAATATTGAAACGTTTTTCATTTTTTCTCCGTATTACTTTTTAATTACCGAAATTCTTTGTTAATACATAACTTATAATTGCATATATATTCTTTCTACTTTTATTTCTTTTAGATCAAAAGGTATTATTCATTTAAAGTAAAACATCATGATGTTTACAACAATTTGGTACCTGACAATGAATCTAATATTTTTAAATCAAATATTTTAACAGTTTTCTCTAACCGAGATCAATTAGGTCGAAGAGTTCTAGTCATAGAGCTAGGGAGTAAGTATTCTTGTAACATTATTTTATACTTAACTTTTAAAATAAATTTTTTAACTTATTAAAATTCTCCTCAGAAAAGTGGAATCATAAAAAAGTTAGCCTGGATGAAGTGTTTAAAGGATGTGTTTTATTTTTAGAGATGGCTTTATTAGAATCAGACACTCAAATTAATGGTGGTGTTGTTATATTTGATATGGACGGTTTATCATTATCTCAAACAATGCAGTTTACACCACCTTTTGCTAAACGTATTGTTGATTGGTTGCAAGATTCTGTACCATTACGTGTCAAAGCAATACATATCGTTAATCAGCCAAAAATTTTTAATATTGTTTTTGCATTATTTAAACCCTTTTTAAGAGAAAAATTACGTTCAAGAATATATTTTCACGGAACTGATCGCGATTCATTGCACCAGCATATGTCACCAAAAGTTTTACCCAGTTGTTATGGTGGTATCTTAGAGTTAAAACGACCCGAGGGTGAAGAATGGTATTCCATTTTAATGAAATGCTCAAAAGAATTTCAAGCAATTAATAGTTATGGTTACAATAAAAAGTAATTAGTATTAAATGTATAATAATTAAGTATGTAAATAGTACTTACGTAATATTTCTGTTATAGATACTTAAAACATTCTGTATATAGTTTATAGTGATATACAGAAGACAATTCTTGCAATTACACAATGAACTACTATTTTTGAGCAACGCTGATTCAAGTTAAAAAACTCAAAGCTCCTCAAAAAAGTAGGTGAATCTGTAATTACAAAAATTGTCTTCTGTATAGCACTATGAATTATATACACAATCAAAATTTTATAAAACTTATTACATGTATGGTATCGATGTTAAAGTAAAATATTTCGAAATTTAAATGTTCCGTAAATAATTTAAAATTATGTACATAATATAACTGTACGTAAGGTCAATCATTTTATATTTATCAAAAATTTCAATATAATAACTTTAAATAATGAAAAGTCTATTTAAGTACCACAAGAATTATGTTCAAATATGTAATTGTAGCTACATTTTTAGTTTTTTTAAATAATTTTGAAAATTGCAAGATTTTTAGAGAGTTGCAAGGTAAATTGATTGTAAATCACCACAAAATGGTAGCAACTTTTTTTTAAATGCAATAAAGTAAATGTCTCCAAATACCGAATTTCATATACACAAATACATATTTACGTACGTATTTAATTTTTATTTCAGTTTTTACACTGTATTTTCACCATATCTATTCAGTCTTAAGGTCTTTAATTTTTAATCCAATAACAACGTACAATAATTTTCCAAAATATGTTTTGAAAATTCATACATACATACATATTTGTTTTGAATTGAATAACATAAATTTATTGTGAATTTCATTTCAGTTTATTTTAATTCAGTTTTTGTACACAAAATTCTATGTTGGCTCAACTTTTTCGACTTCACAGGTGCCACTTTTGAAAATTTTTTTCTAAAAGGTTTCTTTAAAAAAAAAAAGAGCTTTTCTTTTAAAGTAGTAATAAGACGTTGAGATTCAAGCAAAATAGTAAGTGCTTTATAATACATTAAAACTATGTATGTAAAAAGGCTACCTAACTTGTAAAAACAATTAAGAAATATTGTGATATAATTAGACGTTACATTGTTAATTACACTAATTAAGTATCTATGTATATATTTTTTAAATTTAATAGAAAAAGATGAACTTTGCAGTTTAAGAAAATATCTGTATGTAATTTAATCTTTAAAATATCTATAATATAATTTAATTATTTATATAAAATATTATTCGTATCGGTACGTACAATGAAAATATGGAATTTGCCAGGCGCAGTAATCGAAAAAACTATTTTTTATTGAAATTTAAAATTAAAAGACAAAAAAATGCTATTAATAATAATGAATTTTAAAAAAATTTTGAAAGGAAATTTTTGATTAAAGGTCGAATTTAAATGATGCAGAATATTATGTAAAAATGAAAACGAAATATCTATGGTGAACTGTTATATTATAAAAAAACCTACTGCTGCTCTCATAGTTTTCAATAAAAGGTTTTATTTTTTATATAATATGCAGTATTCTTAACTTATGCTCAATGATATAAATTTTTTTTTTTGCAATAAATTTCTTATTGCTAATATTTATAAATATTGACATAACATAGTATAATATTAATTCATCTTTAAAACTTTTGATTTTTACTTATTGTGCCCATATTTTTGCGCAGACCTTTTTTTGCCAAAATTTTGTTTAAATTTAAAAATTACACTAACTGAAAACAAATTTAAAAAAAATAATTCAAATTTATAAGTACGACATTTAAAAATGACGTTTTTTAATTTTAGTTCATATTTTCATTTTATGTAAAATGAATTAATCTTAAAAATAGGTAATGTCTTAATTAAGATAACATAATATCTTATAAAAATTTAGATAACGTATCATCTTGTCAAATTAAGATTACATGTAATACAAATGCCTTAATAATAGTACACTACAAAACAGAATAATATTAAGCAGAATTCTGCATGCAGTATGGTAAAACAACGTTGTTTAAAAAGAATATATTGAATTCCAAAACATCATCTAAATTATCAAACGGTGATTCAACCACAAATTAAACAATCATAAATTTAAAATATGCATTGCTAAAATTTTAAATTTAATTCAAAATAGTCATTTTATTTGATTTAACCCTGCATAGGTTTTATTATTTTATTTTGTGAAAGTATTTAACGTCATCTTTTAAACAAATTAAAAAATGTTTCAAATTATATTTTTTCAAAACTGTTAATCAGAAAATTCTTAATTTTCATCTCCTTATTTATAACAATTATTTAATATTTGTATCCTTCTTTGTTTGCGTGGTGAAAATGGATTTCTTTGTAATTTTATACAAACCAAACTTAGGTATTATGTACTAAATAATGCATATATTAAATTTTTATCAATATTATTGTACGATTACAAGCGATAGACTATAATTATGTCTACTTCAATTAAGAAGGGTAGAATATTGACAATTTTATCAAATAAAATTACATAAAGCAGTAAAAATTTATTAGCAAATCAACAATAGTTTTGAAATGTGTTTGAAAATGTTCGAACTGCTTTTTACAGTTAAAACTTTTTCTTAAAAATTTCCATAATGCACAAAAAACTTTTAGATACAATAGATACAATAGATAGATAGTTTGTTACAAATATATATGCAAAATAAAACACAAAAAAAAAAACAAGATAATATTTGTTGGCAAAATTTTGCTCATAGTAGACATTAACAATCGCAGCTTATATTTTACTTTATATTTTAAGATTTGTATTTTTGGGTTTAATAAAATTTAATCTATAAAAAAGTGTTTTCCTTTTTATTTTTTACTTTAAATAAATAAAAGCTCCTATATATTTGTGGTACAGCGCCATGGCATTTTATTTTTATCATAAAAATTATGTGTTATATCGAGTTTTTTCTCTTTGATACTTTTATTTTATGTGTATCGATTATTAAAAGAATAGGCGAGTCGAATGGACTAGGCAAATCGAATGATATTTTAAATTATAGTCGGCGAATGCTTTCATTCGCCAGATCCAAAATGTTGCTACCGCAAGACATCAGAAAACCTACCGTAAATAATAACACCACACATGTACATTGTTTTTCTTTTTTTTCGCTTAAATAAATATTAAATAATCAACATTTTTTACAATAATTTGTAGAATTTTATGAACTTACTTTACATATAGTTAGATTTTTCCATTATAGTATCACTATAAATGCTATAATATCTAATAAAAAAACACTTACGAGTATGTATTAATTTGATTTTTGGTTTCATTCGCCAAGCTTGTCACACAGAATTTTCAATCGAAAGATTTTATAGTTTATTCGCCTAAAATTTAGGCGAATCCGCCAATCATAATTCCAAAACTTTTTACTCTCCAAAAATTTTATTCGCTTAACCGATCATAATAAGGGCCTAATTATTTTTGGCCTTATATCATTTATATCAAAAATTTGCTACAAAAGAAAGCATTTTTGCACCACTCTTATTTTATGTCTTTTTATAAATTTTTTCAATATTTTTTAAAATTTTACACTCATTTTTTTTATCTCGCTTCGCTTTTATAGTATGGACACATCATTTTTGCCACCGTGTACTAGAATGAATTACAAAAATATGTAGCTTTATGCACCTTTAAAATGCCTAATATTTTTCCGAGCGTATATCAATTTAAGAAGTAGTTCGACTTTCCGTTTACATAACACTAATGCAAGCACTCACCAATAATTGTGTATAAAAAAGTTCCCTTAACTAGAAGAGTTAAGTATACCTTCTTAATTTCATTTCATTTTATAAAAATTATTGGCAAAGAGAATTAGTACATAATATATGTCTGTCTGAATTGATGTAGCTCAGGTATTTGATCGTGTGTGGCACGAAGGGTTAATCTATAAGTTACATAACCTTTTACCAGTTGAATTTGTCAAATTAATGCAATCGTATCTCAACTTCAGGTTACTCAGAGTAAGAATAGGGGAGAACTATTCCGAATTAAAAGAAATACATGCACGGGTTCCATAAGGCAGCATACTGAGCCCACTATTGTTTGTTATGTATGCCAATAATTTAATTCCAGAATGGACTATAAAGTGGAAAATAAAACTAAATGAAGCGAAATCATCAAACATTAATTTTATAGGCACACACAAACCAACACGTTTCTATTTCCTTAAACAGAGTACCTGTACCACACGAATCGTCAGCATAATATTTGGACATGACACTGGACGCGATACTAATGGGGAAAAAACATATTAAAAAAATAAGAAAAGAATTAAATCACAAATATAGAAAATTGTACTGGTTGATCGGTCGTAATTCAAAATTGTTAACGAAGAATAAACTACTCGTATATAATCAGGTACTAAAAACATTCTGGCTATACGAAATTTAACTTTGAGGTTGTGCCTCAATCTACACATAAACACAATACAACGTTTCCAGAACAAAGTCTTACGTAATATAGTGAATGCACATAGGTTGAATAGAGATTTACACCGGGATCTCAATATTCCCAGGGTCATCAACAATTAAAAGGTTTGCGATAAAATACGCTGCTAAATTGGATAGTGAATTGATAATGAATTGATAATGAATAGAGGGATACAAATACGGAGGCATCGAAGTTGATCAACATATCCGGTATCAGTCGACGGCTGAAAAGAAAAAAGCTATCAGATCTTCTTTAGCAAAATTAGCTGCCAGAAGTTGATTCAGTTCACCAATAAGTGTTTGCTGTTATAAATTTAACTACTAAGCAAGTTAAGTACTAAGTTCGTTTATTTTTTATCTATTTCCTATTAATAATCTCTAATACTCTTAGTAGTGGAAGTGGCAAGCAAACAAAAAATAACGTCATGGATCGAGTCGAATTACTTATAAAATAGATATACTTTAGGAAACGAACTAATAGATATCGACTTTAAAAAAAATTTCCTATTAAAGATCTATTTATATGTATGTATGTATGTATGTATATATATTTATACGGACGGACAAATTGAAACTAACAAGCAATTCTTTTTTTAATTTTTTTTGAAGAGTGCTAAACTAAATGAAATGAAAATAAATAAATGACGAAATAATCAACATCATTTTTGAAATTATTTAAATATGTTTTAAAATTTTCAAAATATTAAAATTTCATTTTTTTATTTTAAATATTATAATTTCAATTTTTTTTATGTTTTTATTTTATTTCCAAAAAAAGAAAAATACCTTTTTAGTTTTTAGTTTCTGAAAAATTTGATTTCGATGTACATACGTAGCGATATCAAACCGAAAAATGTTCAATTCAATTGATTTCTTTCTGATTGCTGATTAAAGTGTGAAAATTTTATTTATTTATAGGAAACCCAGGAAATACATTATTATTTTAAACCAAATATGCACTAATACAAATTTATTTTTAAATTAATAAATTAATGCAAATTTTAATAATTAATTTTTAAAATAACTCAATTGAAATAAGGGAGCGTTTAAAAATCAAACGAAATTGGGCAACTAATCGAATTAGTTTTTACAAATCAAATTTAAGTTGATAAAATTTTTTGTCACTTCAGCTGATTTTTTGTTGTTGTAATTAAAGAAAAAGTCAGTTGATCACATTAAGTTTTAGCTCTCACCATTTTCAAGTAGGATAGAACAAGATTCTATTTTTCTTTTACGATTTGGTTTGATTGGATTGGGTGGTTACAAATCAAATATATTTCAAATTTTGATCCTTTCAAACTAAATCTTAAATTCGATTTGTAAGCATTGCTTTATTGAACTTTGTTTTGACAACTTCAAAATATATGTTTTAATTAATACAATTTGTCAAAATATTCAATAATTCATGATTAAAAAAAACACGTTTACTAGACAAAATTTATTATGTTTCTAAAAAAAAAAATTAAATTTTAATACGTTAATAGATTTAAGATCTACCTTGAGCTAAAATTTAGGTTTCACTTCGTTATGTATACTGTTTTCTTAAAGCAGCTATTCTTTCTATTTCTTAACATAAATAAAAATGCTTTTTCTTCACAAAAGATGGATACAGTACGATTTCTATTACGTTTATTTATTGTTTAATATCAGTACTGCCAACTTTAAAAATATTCATCAATGCCATCTTGGCTGGCGTCAGTAGTCGTCAATTTTCGTGAATGGTAAAAGCGCTCTAATTAAAGTCTGAAAAATACGAGGAGATAAATTTATATTTAATTAAATTTTTAGATTTCTTGCATTAATTAGTTTATTAAAAGCAAACATTTTTTCTGCTTTCATTATTTGGTAAATTTTCTGTTAAATAGGAATGTCGGAGTTAATACATTTTGAAATAAATGATTTGGTGTGGTAAGTTTTTGTCGATGCATATAGAAAAATGGCTTCATTTTTTATAATCAATGTCATTCCTTATCATAATATTTTTATTGGTGTTTTATTAAATTGTTTTATTTTAAGCAAAAGTGTATGCTAATAAGTATGTAGTTTCAAAACAATGAAATATCTAATTGGGTTTCTTCAAAAATGAAATAAGATTTCTAACCTATGAGAATACAATATATATATATATGTATACTTTTTCACTAGAATCCCTTTTAATAATGGCCGGCAAGAAAATTTCCCGCGTATTTCTAATAGTGTACTTATACAAAAAAATTAAGATTTTGTTTATATTTTGATTTTGATCGTGTCAAAATGAAAAAATGGTTTTTAATCATACTATTTTCATTTTTTATAGGGCAAAAATGAAAGGATTTTCACCGTGGCCAGGGATGGTAATTTTTGATTACTTTAAAATAAAAAAAAATACAGTACAATAATTTTCTAGGTTGTCTCACCACCAGCAAAAGTTGGTAAACCTCCGAAACGACAAGTACCATCTAAGTGTATTTATTTTTTTGGATCAAAAAATTAGTAAGTTATTTTCAGCAATATATTATTTACTATTGCAGAAAGTTAATAAAATCAATCCTAAAACTAAAGTAATGTAAATAAAAAGGTTGAAACGCTCTTTTGCGTAGGACCTTATTTTTGATGATTTCAATAAAACGTCGCTATCCCTTGTTCAACTTTAACTATTTTGAATTTTATTTCCATCAGCTTAATAATTTCTCTTAATTGTTGTGTTCAATTAATACAATGTTAACTTTCTGACAAGTTTCTAAACTTTTGCAAGCGTATTATTTTTTGATATTTTTATTTTTAGTGCGTGGATAGAGATTGATAATTTGAAGCCATATGATATGTATAAGGAAGAATTATCAAAGACTTGTAAAACATCTTTATTCAAGTTAGCTCTTAAAGATATAGAGGATTATATAAATGATCCTACAATTTTAACTTTAGAACCACCAGCAATATCTTCAGAAAATGATATTGACGCCAACTTCGACAAATTGCGAGACAGCGACACATCTGATTTTAATGAAAAAACCCCAAAAAAAACTCCAAAATCGACAAAGCCGAAATCGTTGTCAGCAAAATCATCAAAAAGTACAAAAACCAATAATTCAGTCTCAAGATCAGCTGGGGCTAAATCAACTTCGGCAAAACGAAAGCGGGATTCTGATGATAATATTGGAAGTGGGGTCAGTGCTAAAAAACGTTTAAATGCATCAAATTTCGATTTTAGTACACCAAATACAGCCAGACGAGGTGGAAGTGCGACTACATTAATTAATAGACCAGTTGTACCCAGACCAGAGGCACCACCTGTCAATATGATTTGTACAAATGATTTTCTTTCAAGAGAGATAACTCCATCTCAATTAACATTTGGTTTTCTCGGAGTAGGCATTATGGGATCAATTTTCATTAAAAATTTTATCACAACCGGCCACAAAGTTGTTATTTGGAACAGAACACCATCCAAGGTTACTTATTATTTTCATTACATGAATAACGTTTAATATGTTCTATCTTTTTAGTGTGAAATATTTAAACTACATGGGGCAATCGTTAAAGAAGCACCTTTTGAAGTTATTGATGCTGCTGATATAACTTTTTGTTGCGTGTCAGATCCAAAAGCAGCTAAAGATGTAATGTACAATTTAAAATATTAATTAATTTCTTAAGAATATGTTTTTAAAGCTGGTGTTTGGCAATTGTGGAGTTCTGCAGTCATCAACTCTTACTGGCAAAGGATATGTTGAAATGTCTACCATTGATCCAGAAACATCGAAAGATATTTGTGACGCGATAGCAGGAGCTGGTGGTCGTTATTTAGAAGCACAGGTATGAAATTTTTACATCAATTTTTTGATTTTCTTTTTTATCTATTATTTATTAATCGCTACATACAAAAATATTTTAGTTTCTTATAATTTTAAATTATTTAGGTCGCTTTTATCATATTTGTAATTATTTAAGAACTTTTTATTTGGCGCCCTCTAATCGAATATTCTGTTATATAATTTTTAATAATTGTTGTATAATTTATAACAATTGTAAAAGTTATAAAAATTGTAATATAAAAGTTATAATAATTGTAGTAAAAATTATTATTGCGGTATAATTTATAATAATTATGGAACAATTTCTAATAATTTTTCTATAACCTGTAATAATTTTAGTTCTATTTATACTAATTGCTAAATAGTTTATAAAAACCTTAGTTTTTATTTTCCATTGATCTAAAATTTCTTAAAATATTGAATAAAACTATAATTTTGTTTTGATTTTTGTATGTGAGGAACAATTAGTGGGCTTTATGTTGAATTTCAAAGTACAAGAATTCGTTGTGTCATTATTTTTACTTTTTTTGCTTATCATTTCGAATTCGTTACGAATTATTGTTTAATATTTTTCGCCTTTTATTTTCAGAAATTCATACTGTTTCTTTTACAATTTAATATACAAAATTTTTATTATGAAATTATTCAAATTTTCTAGCTATACATTATAAAATTGTTTCCTTTAAATTTTTGTAGTTGCATGAAAAGAAAACTACCTTTAATTTCGAATAAAATACTTTTTATTTTGCGAATATATTTTATTGTAAATAAAAGGAAGTTTTCCTTTCATACACCTAAAAAAAAAATTTATATTTTGGAAAAATTATCAACATTTTCATTGAAGAATTTTTTGAATTGTTTCCTTTAAATTATCAGGAAGAAATTAGTATAATTTTATAATACTCATTGATAATTTTTTAAATCACTTGATTTTTTCTTTTTTGAAATATTTTGAATCCAAAATCTAAGGCAGCTTTAAAATAAAATTTTGTGTATTTTGCATTTATTATAGTTGTTAGGCAATTTGCAATGATTTCAAACTGTTTATAAATTAAAAATGGTTCTTTTATAAATTTAAAACTTTTTCTGATCCTCTGCTCTTTACTTTTTTTTTGTCCTCTAACTAAGAAAAAACAAAGTCTTGTTTTTAAAATTTTTTAAAATTATAAAATGATAATCACTTTAAAATAATAATAAGCAACAGGGATAAAAATACTATTTTATGCAAAAAATATCTTATTGTAAATTTGCAGCTCTTTCCTTATCGTACTTTTTCAAAAAAATAAAATTTAATTTTGGGACTTTGGACAGATATTTTCGTTAAGGAATTTTAACAAGAATCTGTAAACTTCTGATGTATTCAAAATAACGAGCAATTTTTTAACTATATTTATAATTAAAAGTTTATATCTACTACTAATAATCTATAGGGAATATTTATGTAAATAGGAAGCAAACTTAAAAAAACAACTGTAATTATCACAGAAAATTTTATAACATTATTATTATCAGTATGAAAAAAGGTTTTAAATTCGGTTATTTTAAATGGCTGTAATTGTAATGTGATAAAGATATTTTTGGTAAAATTTAAAGTGTCTCATTTTCTTCGGTAAATTCTTCGGTAAATTTTAAGTGTCTTCCACAGTGTCTAATTTTCCTAAAATAATTCTAATTTACATATATAAAATAATTATTGCTATACGTTATGTAGGTAGTAAAATTCTCTTTCACATGGATCTGAATTATGTAAACATACATATTTTAAAATTCAGTTTCACATTTTTTGAATTACAATAACTTTATTTGTGAAAAGACACATTTATTCACACAACAATTATTTAACTAACTGTTTTTAAGTTATAAAGAGCTAAAGATATGTGTTTTTTCTACATAAAGCTTAAAATTAAAATAAATATACCACTTTTCTTTAAATATCTTATTGTAAATTTGCAGGTCTTTCCTTATATTAAAATAAATATACTTTTCTTTAAATCGTTTGATTTTTATCTTGTTTTGTTCAAGATAATTAAATTACAATTAAAACAAAATTTTTTGTAAATACTAAATTTCGGTAACGTGCTTTAATTAAAATTGAAGAACCTTCCTTAATTCAAGTAGTTTTTTATTTAAAAAAACAAGAGTATTTTTTGAAACACTTAAAAATTGTAGCTATAATTGACCAACATAATTATAAATAATTTAAAAGATTTTTGTAATTGCAAATTAACACTGGAAAATACATACATATATGAATATTTCATCATGGCGTTTAACATAATAAGAAAAAAAAGATATATTGTTACTTGTAAAAACTATTTTATTCCAATCTCACCAGCTTTCCATTTTTTATTCTACAAAAGTAGACAAAAAAGAAAATGGCACAACACATATGAATCAATTATGTTTTATTATTTATGTTGAATACACTTAAATTAATTATGTTTTATTGTAATGTTGATGTTTTATCATGTTATGTTAGTTCCTTATTTACTTTTAATTTATTTTCAGATTCAAGGAACACGACCTGAAGCTGAAGAAGGAAACGTTGTTATATTAGCAGGAGGTGATAGAAGCGTTTTCGATGAATGCGAATCGTGCTTTAAATCAATTGCTAAAAATACATTTTTCCTTGGTAAAAGAAAAAAACTTAAAAAAGAAATAATTTATATTATTTTTTTTTTATGTATATTTAGGTGAAACTGGTAACGCGTGTACAGTAAATTTAATTTTACAAACAATTGTTGGCGTTAGTTTAGTTGGACTATCTGAAGCTTTTGCATTAGCGGAACGTTTTCAAATATCGTTGACAGATATTTTAGACATATTAGACCTTACATCAATCAAATCTGGTTTATTAATTTCAAAAGGAAAAGGTTTTTGATTCATAAAGGATATTTTGTATACCTAGCTCACTAATAGAATTGTTTTTTTTTTTAGAAATGGCTAAGCATAGTTTCGCAACTAATCACCCCCTAGCATTAATGCAAAAAGATTTGCGTTTGGTTTTGGATATGGCTGAAACAGTCGATCAGGCAATGCCAACTACTAGCATATCGAATGAAGTATTTAAGCATGCAAAACGATTAGGCTATGGTGAACATGATTCAAGTGCCGTTTTCGTAAGATCACGTTTTTAAAACAAAACTATACAAAAAAATAAAAACAAAGAAAAATTCTTTCCTTTAAAAACAAATTATTTTGATTTAATTCAATTTGGTTTTCCTTTTTTTATGAATAATAACAATTGTTAAAATAAAAAAGTAGTAAAATCAATTTTTAAAAACTTTTAAAAATAATATTTAATAGAAAATATAAGTTCGTACTGCGTATGTAGGTGTACTCTTTGCGCAAAACATACATACATGAATGTATGAATATATCCAACGTAAATTTATATTTAAAATTACGTTGGTGATTTTAATAATTTTATTTTGAAGATGTATTTGTATATATTCGTAAAACCGTATAACTTGTAAATACACATACTTATATATGTATTTGTTATATGTAGTTAACGCTATAGATTTAAAATTTTAATGTTATCAAGGAGAATTTCGGCAATATAATTTTAAGCTATTAACGATTTATAAATTTAAAAATGCATGCTTTATAACTTGTTAGTGGGTGATGTTAATGAATGCTTCATTTACTCACCTTGAAAACGGCGAAAACATTTCAACGTTAATTAAATTATAATGTCAAAATAATTCCACTGATACGGAATAAAAAACGATAAAAATTCTTCATCGAGTCTGAGTTTTAACGTTTATATACAAATATAATATTTTTAAGACTTAAGTAAAAAAATTGTGTTTTGATCTAAAATGGTTGGCTATAAAACGAGATGATGTAAACGTTTTAGTAAATAATATGCAAATTAGCTTATAAGTTTAATATTTTAGAAATTTTTTGTCTGACAGTTTTGTTTTATGTATTTCAAATATATATTTGCAATCATTTTTTATATAATTGATAAATTTCTAATGCATATATATACATACATATATTGTAATTAAAAATTATGACAACTATTCATTTTGTTCTTCTTTTAATATTAAATTTTAAATAAAAAAATATTTTAAAATGAAACTTGCATGGTTTCATTATTTTTAAATGCACTGAAAATTAAAAAGTATTTTTATTACTTGTAACAAAAAATTAAAAAAAATTATATGTAAATCTCTTAGAATATTAAAATTTTTTCAAAATTGATTTTATTTTTTTTCGCTAGTTATTTAACTCTTGAGCCCAGAATTTGGAAAAAGTTTTATAGGCAGTAAACAATTTATATTTTTTACATACATTTAATTTCTGGTGTAGTATTTTTTAAGATCCCTTTTATGCGATGGAGTAAAACACAACATTTTTACAATGAATGGTTTAGAATAAAAAAAATAACGTGTTATATTTTCAAATTTTTTGTAATTGTTTTATTGAACGTTATCTCTTTGAAACAACTTATTGCCAGTCGTAGAACATTTGATTTGAATGTATTATAATATCTGGCATTTAATCACATACACAGTTAATTGCATAATTTTTAACTCGTTACAGAAAACTCTTTAATAGTTGTTAAAAGAAAAAACAGTTTTGAGTCTAAAATGACAAATATTTAAAAATAGAGTCACAAGTTTATTTTTAACCTGAGTGTATAATGTCAATCATTTTAGATTAATAACTTAAATGATCTTTAAATTTTTCTTTAAGTCATTTCTAATTAGTTTGAATACTTTTAAATAATAAATCATAATTTTTCAATCTTTTCTATCTCTCTAGATGGATGGCATAGTAAATGATGAAAAATGTTGAATATAATTTCTTGTTTTGATAAAAAAAGATTTATTAGAATATAATACATATGTATGTCAAATGTAATTAAAATATAATATATTTTCTTAAAAGATTGTAAATCTAAAAAATTAACATTCATACAATATTAATATTTGATTTTTAGTGTAAGATAAAAATTATTAAAAAAAATTTAAAGTGTCTGTCATTATGAAAGACAGCTTCAAAAAAAGTTAGTTGAGTTTGTAAATACTTTTAAAACAAATATATAACTTTTATAAATAAAATTAAAACAAAGAAATGAAAAATTTACAAAAATTTTGCTGACAAAAAGAATTTTCATATAAACTAAAAAATATTGCTTTTTTATACTCTTCATTTAATTTTTTGATTTCATAAAGATATGTTCCGTTTGAAAAAATATTTAGTAAATAAGGAAAATATTGTAATTTGTAGTATAAAAAAATATGTTGTATGAAACAAAAATTTTACTTGCAATATGTTAATTTCAAACAGCAATTTTAAAAAATTTTGGAAAATACGATTTAAATTATTAGCTGCATCCATTAATTTTTTAAAATTTGGAACTAAAATATATTAAACGTTTTAGTTTTACCTATTCTTAATAATTTCGGTGACTTTCATAGTTAATAAAATTTGTTACATATTTTATTTAATTTTGATGTATTTTTTTTTAAATTTTAATTTTCAATGCTTATAAAAATATCGCGTTTATTTTAAATATATGATAATGCAATATGAACATTTTAAGTTATAAGTATGTATGTATTTCTACTTAATATTTATCTGTTACTTTCTATGACTTTCTCAGTGTAATAAGTTTATATCTCAATTAAAATTTATGCTATGTCATCTAAAAGAAATTAAATAATAAAGTAAAAAAGTAACATTTAATCCATTCATACAAAACCAAATTAAGCAGAAAAAAAATTACTAAAAGCAAATTAAATAAAATATGTAACTGATCATTCAATTTTAAAATTTAACATAGAAAATATAACATGCATACATATGTACATACATGTCATATGCATATAATTATATATAGATATGATGACATATATATATATATATATGTATAAAAGAAAAAAAATTTTTCAAAATTTTTATTATAACTAGGTATTTTTAAGTCAATGTTGATCTTGTATTTTATTTTTTCTAAAATTAAGTTAATCAGTAATAATATGTACTGCACAGTTCTTTTTTATTTAGAAATTAATCTAAAAAAATACCTTGAATATGAATAAAATTTAATAAAAGTAGATAAAGTGAATAAAATAATTTTTAATAAGATAATGATTAATAAAGAGAAATATTAATAAGAAAAATAACAAAATTATAAAATAACATGAAACATTTTTCTTAGCAAAATGGAATTGAAAAAAAGGGTTTTTTACTTTTTAATTTTCCCACTTATGTGAATAAACTTCAATTGTAAATCTTAATTTTAGACTTCAATAATATTTTTTCTAGAAAATTTTTAAATGCCGTAGCACACACCACATAAAATAAGCCTAGTATTTTCGGATTATATATGTAGATTGTAGTATGTACTTACATATTTTACATTTATATAAAAAGGGTGGATTATAGCCTGTGTTAAAACCTTTTCGCTTCTTTTTTTTCAATGCGCCGTGTATTCTCCACAAGTATGTCATAAATAATCTTAATGTCAAAAATATATTCTCAAAACAATATGATTTCCTCAAAATGTTGTTAAATGTCTGCATATAATGCTCACGAAATATAATTTTTATGGTTCCTTAAATTAGTTTCATAATCTACCGCAAGATACCTCTACTATATTTCGTTTAGTGAGTCAAAACTGTCAGAACTCATAAACGACATTTATTTCAAAAATGCCAAAACATTGACATTTAATCAATTATATTTGCTTCTTTCTATTTTATTGTTTAAAACTATGTTGTAAAACTTAGTATATCTGTCTTTTTCTATTAGGCGAATTTGTCAAAGTCAGATTCAGATCAGAAACATAAATAGAAACAATAAAAAGAGTAAAGAGGCAGACAAAACCGAAAAGGAGTAACAAAAATAGAAACAAGAAATTAAAATTTTTTTGTTGTCTTTGTTTTTTAAATTTGGAATATTGATGTTATTATCTTTTTCTAACTTATACAAATTAATATTGAACAATTGAAATCATCACATAAATATGAATATAATTGGGACTACATATCTATTTATCTCACCTTATTTTTTCGTCGTAGAGCAAATTTACATAGTAAAACAGACAGCGACAGAAAACAAAAAAAATAAAAAAAAATAAAAATATAATATGGCGAACTTTCCGTATTGGTATAAAATATATTGCTCCTTAACATTTCTTTAAATAACTTCATTTTAGAAATGTAAAAAATTTTATAAACTTTCTAATCAAATTTTAGTAATATAAAAAAATACAAATATATTTAAATTAAGTGAAATAAATGTGAAATAAGGGTATAAAATTTAAAAGAAAAGAAAAATTGAAATTGAAAAAAATATTTAAAATTAAAAAAGAAATTCATATAATATATGTGTACATATATAAATATATTAGTTGTACATAAGTATTTATAGAAGAAAAAAAATTTCTGTCATATGTATAATTGAAAAATAAGTTTAAATTAAAAACTTCCAAAAATTTATTTCCATTTAAAAGAATTATGAAAAAGAATAAATAATTTTAAACGTATATACATATATAAATACATATATATATATATATATATATATATATATCTATATATGCACAAATTGAAAAAAAGCAAACGTGTGTGCGATTTAATGCAAAGTTGTGTTGGTGAGTGGCTATCAAAAAAGCTGAAAATAAAGTCTCAACTTTAAGCAAATGGTGTAAAATTTAATAAACAGCGATAGAAAATAAAAATTTTATTAAAAATAAATAATAATCAACGTGTTAATTTAAAATCGAAAAATTAAATATACTGAAATATAATTTCTTTTCTCGTTCTTATGCAGAAACCTAAAATAATCTTGAAAACAATAATATTACAAAAAATAAATCTTGATTTGCTTTTAAATATTTTCTGAAAAATATTTCAACCATTCATAACTAAAAAAAATCAAAAATCAGCTATTTATTTTCTTTTTATACGGACACATATGAACATATACATATATATTCAAATGTAGGTACATAACAAATAAATCTAATAAAAAGGTACGTACATTGTTTTTGAAAGGTAAAAATAATTTAAAAATTTTGCGAAAAAAAAATAAATTTAATTTACATTATTATCTTTTTTATATGTTGTCGTCGAATTCGCCCAAAAAATACCTACTAACTTCAGCAACAGAGACTCCTTAAAAACAAAAATAGAAAAAAGATTAACATATGCACCTATGTATATTATTGTATAAAAAATTTAGTTTAAATGTAAAAATGTAACAAGATAAACATGTTCATACGTAGATACATATTGTTACATGTTTATCCAAATAATTAATAATATGAAAAAATTGATAAAAATTCTATGCAAACTATTTTTAAAATGTAGAAAGTTCTTTAAGAAAGAGTTTTTACATAATATTTACGGTTTTTTATGATATGACAACGCATTTTTTTTTAATTTTCTGTTTTTAAAATGCTTTTTTCTACCAATATATTATCTGGCCAAAATTTTTTTTAAGATTAAAATGCAAGGCTATTTCATTCGTATGAAAATGCGAAAAATTTATAGAGAAAATTACACCTAATCTTATGTATGTATATATGTATACTACATTATATATAAAAACATATGCAAATGCATGCATGAAAAAGAACTTCATTCATATGAAAATTTAGTTAAATTTCAAATAAACATTTACATTTTCTTTTAAAAAATATTTGAAACTCATTTGGAAACAGAAATACTTCAGTAATTTTTTTCATTTAAAAGAATTTAAAAATAGGTAGGTAATTATCCTTAACAATCATTTTAACGTTCAAATTTGTTTTTCTCTTAGTTCAGAGAAAGAAAAAGGAATAAGAATTGCAAGCATCTAATAATATCTGTACTGCGTTTTACCTCCCTAGGTATTTTCCCACCCAATTATTTGAATTTTTTTAAACAATTTTCAATGATATACTATTTTTTTCCTAAACGGGGACTTTAAAACTTTAATTTTTATATTATATGCATATGTATAATACGTTCATATATAGCTAATTTAAACATCAAAATATTATTATGAATAGCTTTGTCTTTAACATATTTTTAGCTATAAAATTATTTTATTTCTTACTTATATGCACAATTAAAAAATAGAGAAAAATGTGCGTATACTCGTATAGATATAAATATAAACGCTAAAGAAACGAGATATCGAGTTTCTTTAATGTTTGATGGCTCATATAAAAGCTTAAATAACACAAAAAATTACGAAAGAATATGAAGTTTATGAAGTTTCCCAAAAACATATACGATATGTGTCGGGATAAAGAAAACTTAAAAAAAACAAAATAGGAAGAGCTTTAAATTTTTCTAAAATTTGAATGTCTGGTATCCCAAAAACAAATAAAAAACAAAATAGAAGAATATATTTTTTCAAACCCTTTATCAGTCTTTTCCAGATTTTTTCGTTTAAAGCTTTTATCAGTTTTAAAACGGCAGTTTGGAACAAAAACAGGTGAGTGAGTGGAAATTTGATCTTGTACCCGTTTAGTATAAAAAGTGTGATGAAAGATGCTTCTGATGATAGAAACGTCTGAACAAAAGTTTTAACCATTTTAATTCTTTAAATGATTGTATACACATGTAGGTAGGTGCTTACATATTGTTGTGATACTCTATTCTGTACTGAGTCACCCTGTATAGATGTATTTATATTTATACAATTGCATTTTTGAAATTGGTAATAGGTATACATGTTTGTTTTAAATATCAAACCTATTTATGTTAATTGTATATATGTATATTATTCCTTTTTGAGTATTCAATTATTGTTACATTATCAATATCAAAATACCTTGTAAGACTTAAATTTTGTGATTCTTAACTGATTTTGTGTACTTAACTGATATGATTCAACAAAGTGTTTCATTTTTTTTAATGTTATAGAATAAAATTTTTTATTTTACTAACGTTTAATAACCAAATAAATGTTTATATTTGTGTAAAATACGTATGCAGTGAACTCATTAATTAAATGCGACGCGACTCATGAAATGAGATAAATAGGAAATAAATGAGTAAAATATGTTTCGCGAACCGTCGAGCTTTGACACGAATTTCAAAGCAAAAGTTCTAGCCATTTTTATTCTTTAAACCATGGTAGCTGTATATACAGGGTTGTTCGCATAAGGTGGCAAATAATTTCAGGGATGGTTCTTTGACCAATTTCTTGCAAAAAATTGTATGTGGGAAGGGGTGTAGATATACTTGTTTTCGAGATACAGCCTGCTGAAAAAAAACGTATCAGAGTTCTACTGCATTTAAATGCTCAACTATATAAATGCTCACTATATTTGAACTTTAAAAACACAAAATCGCCGTTCAAATTTACCATTTTCTAAAATCCATTTTTTCCAAATTTTTGATGTCGTTTTTCATCTAGACTCCCGATTGTAGGAGCCTTAAATTTTAGCAATTGTTAGACACTAATAAATAGTTTATTTTCTTATAAGAAAATTTTTTTCCATCTCCACCCCCTCTCAAGTTATCACCTTTTGAAATTTGTAAAATTTGAAATTTTTGACACCTTACATTTTCGAAACGGCAAGCTTTTTTAAATTTCTATAAACACAAGAAGCTAACGGTAAATTCCATGACATTAAAAAGTATAATTATTTTTCTTAACTCATGCAATTGACCCTTAAACCCTTTTTGCTTTATTTCAATGACTGCACAAATCGTTCATCCCAAATATATGCAATCCTAGAAATAGTTTCGTATATGAATGAAAATATTTTTAATAGCGTGGCAGATATACATAGACTGTATTTAAAAGCAGCATTTCACTTGTTGAAGGGAAAAGTGCTACAATACAAACCATTGGTTTGACCCAACTTTATTTTTATTGTTAAATCTTATAGAGTGGAATTTTATGTTACTAACACTTACATGTAAATCAACTAAGAATTTAAGTGTGAAATACACTTACTGAGAACCCATTGGTTAATTACCCTTATAAGTATTAAGTTTTTCATAAAATTTAAAATTACTGTTTACAATAATTCTTCACATTAATTAAAATAAATTTAGATATGTACATGCTTATTTTTTAAAATGTGCTAGTAAAAAATAAAAACGTAAATTTCGCAGTGCATCATAGATATTCAAAAATGCAGTAATAGTGAAATCGTAAATTTTACAATGATTGTTCAAAAAAATTTTTTAAAAGCTCTTGATGTTGTAAATGTCGTTCAAAATTTTTGCTCTCTGTACTTAGTGAATTCGCAAAACAAAATCGTGTGTCTCAGTAATAAAGTAGTGGTATATTAATGTCAGAAAGGCGTTATTACTTTTATATTTTTTTAACAAAATGTAGCATAAAGACTTATAATTTTTTTTAAATGAAATGGCAATTAAAAGCGTTGCAAAGATAGTAAAACAGTATTTAAAATGAACTGAGATTTTTCATATCGTATTTTTGAAAACAGTTTTATGATGATCATAAAGCTATTACAAATTGATACTAATTTGCTATCAAAATTAGCATACATTTCATTTTGCAAAAGAAATTAATCAAAAATAACGATAAATGAAATTAATTAGAAAAAATTTTAATATTTTTTAAATGCGTCATAGCAATTAAAAGTAGGTGAATTTCTACAAGATATCTTTGCAAGGATTTAATCTACTGTACTAACTTTATATATGTATCTACATACAATTTAATATAGGAAATTTCTAGTTCTCTTAAAGAAAAGATAAAAGTTATTAAAACTAATTAAGCCTATAGGTGAAAAGATTCTTTCATACTAATAGACATGTCGAAGATAATGAAATTATATTAAATTGACATTACAAGTACTAAATATGAAGCATAGTACTTGTACGTAATGTCAAAGTACATATTATATACAAAATTATGGTACTCACTGTATAAATAAAATGAATATTAATCAACTGAATTTTTAAACTTATACATTTGCCTATTTTTTTGATCAACTGAGATAGACTAAGAAACAACTTTTTACTAAAATTTTTGATTTTAAACTGATATGTACATAGTCAATATCTTTTTTGTCAAATATTAAGTTTGTTTTAAAATATTAAATGCCAATTTCTATTTTCGTCAATAGTCTTATACCCGTACGAACGTATGTTCGAAGGGTATACTAAATTTGCTTCACCATTTGCAACGCTAAGAAATAATGGTCTGACTCAAGTATATGTTTTGCCATACAACTGTCAAGCATATTTGGCTATATCTCAGAAACTATAAAAGCTGTGTTGTTGAAATTTCACACAAACGAATATTTGTGTAGGGTGAATATGTTTGATAAAAGTCGTTGAAATTTCTTGACTCCTTGTGGTAGCTGCCGTACAACTTCAATAGTTGGTCAAAAAATCTTGAAAAGTACTGAAATTTTGTACACAAAAAATTAATGTGGCAATATGGTCAACTTTATTTTTTCTCATTTCATTATAAATTTAGTTTCTTTCTTCAGTCTGTATTTAAAATAAAATATTCAATTTAGCACATCTAGTAATAGAATTAAATTTATTAAGTCAGTAAGAACGTGAAAATATGATGTACGTATGTATTTATTTTCACATTAACATACATCGTACTCGTATATATTTGTATAATTAAGAAATTAAAATTGAAAATTTGTGGTATAGTTTTTGATTATGTACATATTCCTTTTTTAAGTATGTTTCGTATTTTCCTTCAATTTACAGTAACGCGCTAATTTTATTTGGTCAGATCTTTGAAAGACATCCAAAGAAAAATAAAAATAATAAGAAAAAAAAGTGAATTTCAAATCTGAATTTTAAATTTGTTTTTTTTTTTTTTAAATTTACTAATGAATATAACATAGTAAATTTGTCGAAGTGTACATGTTAATTATTTTACCTAAAATTTCGTATGAAGCACTTATTTTATAGACTTAAGTTTTTCGCAAAGAACTTTGTCATATTAAGCAGTTTGTGCTGGTAATATTTACATATATCTTTCGTTGCACTTGCTGTCTTTAATTGTAATATTGAATTAAAATACAAATAGAGTAGGATTCTCTTTCTGATAATTTAATCCCGTAGAATTCTGAAATTTTTATACAGTTGCTAATATAACATACTTATTTCAATATTTTTTTACTAATATAGTAAGTCTAAATTTTATTTAATCAAACTGTAAGTATCAGGAAACACAAATCCTTTAGAAATAAAAAAAAATTTTTGATATAAAAGTCCAGATGAACTTAAAAGGATTTTCTTTTTTTTACTAATATGTTACTGGGGATATTTAATTTTTTAACTAAACTGTTAACTGAAATTGAAGTAATATAATAAATTGGCGAACGTGAAAAACACTTCTGACAAATGCAATCTATTTAAAAATTGAAACATTATAAAAGCTATTTTTGATATATTTAATCAGAAAATCTAATTCAAATCGAGGTAAGATTGATATAGGAAAGAAAAATTAATATTCATTTTAACAAACTAGTAACTAATACGGATAAAAAAAATTATTATTCGGCAAATGCAACATTATATGATTATACATTAATATTTCAATAACTTTACCGAAAACGGGAGAATTCTATGCATATAATTACTTGCTTATAAAAAAATAACAACGAAATAAGCGAAATAAAACGCTTCAATGCCAATGTTCCTAATTTGGTTCCAAGTGAGTGGATCTAAAAGGATCATAATTTTTTTTAATTATATTACTAGCTTAATCAGGAAAACATAGAACCAAACATCCCTTTTTTGTTCAATAACAAAAAACTTCCAAAATTTTACATAGTTTAGAATTACGTAGTTTATATTATTTATAATATACGGCTTTAAATTTGTTTAAAAATTTTAAGGTAAATTTAATTACGTATCTGGACGTAATTTTAACCATAGAATCATTTAAGGTGCATGTCCTAAATTTTTTGTCCTAGTTCAATAAGGAAGATTTTTAATTATTTTAAATAAATTAATTAAACAATATTGATAAAAGAAATATGTTCTGGAACCCAATCTTTACCTTAATTGCATTTATTTTGTAAAAATAAATTAAATTTGGGACCAAACTTAACAAGAAAATAGAAAATTTTACATTCGAATTGAAAAATATTAATTTTTTTCCCAAAAGGAACTAAAATAATAACAGCTGCAGCTGATAATATCAATGATAACAATCACTAATAAGTAACTATTGTATAAAAGAAAAAAAATTTTATCTATGCGAAATCGATATCTTGTCATAACTTGAACAACAGAAGCAATAGTGGGACTATAAAATAATAAAAATAATTTAATTTATTTATAAGTATATGATAAGCATATCATATTAAATCAAAAGGAAAATAAGAACAGCAAATGTTTTCTAAAACAAAAAACTGAAATAAAAAACCCAATTTTTATATTATTTTTTTTAAAAACTAAAATAAAAACTAAAATAGAATAAAAAAAACGGAAACCACAATGTTGAATTTTAAAAGTGAGAAAAAAGTGAAAAACAATTTTAGAATCTAATAAAACAAGCAAACCATTAATATACAAAAAGTCAGAACAATTTTTATTTCTTCTTAAATGGTTTTTATAAAAACAAAAAGACAGTATAGAAGATTCAAAAATTCGATAACACTAAATTTACCAACTAAAACAATAAAAAAAATAACAATAAAATAAGAATATACAAATATATATGTACATATTTCCAAACTTTTTTTTTTTTTATTTAATTTCATTACTAGTTTGATTAATTGACTTATAATTATTCCATCATATTGTACATTATTATGTTTGTATGGTGGAATATGAAAAAATCTTCACAAAGTAACTTGTTGATTTTAGTGAGTTACGTAGTAAGTATATTAATACTTAATACTTATTGCATTTTATAAAGTAGTTATATATATGGTTAAAACTTCGGATTAAAATTTTTAACCTGTTTTCGAAAAAGTGTTGTAAAATTCATCGTATTAAAATGATAAGAGGGACATTCTTTTGTTGTTTGCTGTTTTGTGTTTTTATTTTCGACCCTTTACATTTAATTCTTTAAAGTTTTCAACTTCAGACCGACCCAGTTTTTCATATTAATCCGGAAATAGGAAAAGTTATTGTATTACACAAATGCATTAGTTTATTTAGAAAAAGCAATCATACATTAAGAAGTTCTACATTTTTTCCCTGCCAGCACAGACATACGCATTCCACAGCCGGATACAAAAAAGTTCAACACGGCGTAGATAATTTATTTCATTTCTTATAAAACAAAACCAGCGTAATCAAAGTCTTAGTCTTTCCCATTATCAGAATTCCCATTGTCATGGCATATTTATTCGCACCAAGGATAACTTGTTCGTACAAGTATCATAGAGTTGACATGGATAGAGTTGACCAGGATTGCAAAAGTGTTTCATAAAGAAGAAATTGGGTATGATCGCAAAGTAATCATATAAATGTGTATCAATGTAGCGTCGATACGAAAAATTGTTGCTGATGTTACACCGATGTGATATTATTTTAACATTTTCTATATCATATGTTTTTTGGCGTTTATTTTGAAAAGGTTTTTGTGTAAAAGTATTAAAATTATTAACAACTGAAAATCTATTAAAAAAAAAAATTTAATTTCAATTAGGTTTTGGAGATTTAAATATAAAATATTGAGTTAAAATAATAAATTATTTACTTTTCACTTTCCATTTAAAAAACTTTGCATCAATACAAAATCACAAAAAAAATTGATGCACAACTGATTTAATATGATGCGTCACGCTGCGTACATTTTTGACATTTTTGGACACCAAATTTCAAAGTATTACGGTATTGACGGATTTTCGTACATGATTTTTACATGGTGGCACATCGATGCTGCATCGATTACTTTCCGATTATACCCATTGTTTGTAAAACGTAAATTTTATTTTTCTTTTTTCTGAATTTTTGGTCTTAAAAGTAAATTTGAAGGCAAATTATCCTTATATTTTGCTTCTTATGGAGATTCGGCTATTTTCAAATGATAAAAATATATCGGATAGGAGAGAAAAGAAAACAATACGTCGAAGCTTTTAAATCGGATTTTTGTTTTCAGAATGTGATTAAGTTTTAAATGTTTAAACATTTTAACAAACATTTAGTTTCTTCAATGAAGGAATTAGTTTTATCAAACGAGTTGGTGAAATATCGACAACGTAAAATATTAGTAAATCAACATTTTTCCTGATACTCAACCTAATTAAAACAAAAAACTTTACTTTTTTTTTTTCTTTTTGTTTCAGCGTCTTTAATTTTTCTGCTATTCATTTGTTTATTACAATTTTTATTATGGTTATGCTACACCTTTCACCCAAAAGTAAAAATTTAGCAAAAAAAAAAAAAAATAAGAAAAATAAGTTTTATTGTCATTTATTTCTATTTTTTTCACTATCATTTTTAATGAACAACAAAACTTCCAACATCACGTCATATTTTTCTCGTACAAGTGAGATTGCAAGGACATGCGCAAATTATTTTTCTTTGTTAAAAAATGTTATAAAATAATTTTTGGTAACCCTGTTCTACTTGATACTTTTTTTTTTATTTTTTACGGTTTTTGTTTATCATATTTTCAATTTAAAAAAATTAGTAGATATACCCTTAATGTTATAATGCTATAAGAAAACAATAATAAATTTAGCATATATAGTATATGTCAAATTTATCATTGTTTTCTTATTTTCAGAGGACTTTTACAGCATTTTCAAATAGAAAAACACATGATTTTTAGTTCATTACCTTTAACAGAGAGGGCCCTGTCGCACAAACCACTTTTACTTTTACCTTGGATTTTTAACTATTTAAAAAAGCGGAATTTTTGATTGATTAAAAAAAAACAAATGTTTGATACAACATGATTTTGTATTATATTAGTGAAAAAAGTTATTTTCCTAAATTTTAATTTTGTATTTTTTTAAACTTAAAATATTCAACATATGTACTCAAAAAATTATTTTTTTCGCAATTTAAAATAAACATAAGCGGAACTCAAATAAATTTTTTGTTCAAACTTTGAACTTCAAAGTATAAAGTAAAATTTATGTCAATAAGAACATTCCGTTTGTCAATATACTATGTATAATAACCTATCAAACCCATAAAAATTTAAATTTAAGCCTGGTTATAACTTTTCATGCTGTAATGCTGCAATATAAAGGAATTATTGACTGAAATATTTTTTGTGAAAATTAAATTTAAGATCCTCGAAATCAAAAAAATTTGATCATATTTTATTCTTGTGTAACAATAGTTCTTTAAGAAAATATCGTAATTTACACGGAATTAATTTATAACGGAATTAGGTGACGAATCTATTTAAATTTTTTTTAAGAAGTTGCACAATTCACAATTTTCTAAAACTTTTTTAAAAGAATTTCCAATTAAATTGAAAAAAATATTAATAAAACCATTTGTTTTTCTTTCTTTTTCAGAATACTTCCATAGGGTGTTAATCATAAAAAAACCATAAAAAAAAGTAATTCTTAACCTTTTTTTTATTTTCATGTGCGTATAAATAGTATACATAAATTAATTTTTTTACTTATAAATTGCATTGTATAACTAATTTTTGCCACATTTCCATAAGTATACGTATGTACATGCATCTATATATGTATATGTTTTAATCCTAAATAAAAAAAAATTTCAAATCAGAATAAGGGAACATATACTTTAACATGCATGTCCATATGTATATATATTTGATATAATTATACATATTTAAATTTAGAAAAAAAATAAAACACTTATTTTATTTGACTTTACATTTTTTTTAAACTATCTTACATTGTTATAGAAAAAATAAAAAAGAAATTAATATCAAAATTTAAAATAAATCAAAAGACAATATAAGCAAAGTTATACATTTAATATCCATTACAAATAAAAAATTAATACATTTTACAAATTTTTGAATAAAAATAAAAAAAAAGACAAATAAGTATACACACATATATATTTTTCTATTAATGGCTATCTTTGTTAAGAGAAACTATCAATATAATAACATTGATAACATCATTAATATTAAAAACATAAATAAGAATAACAAAACAAAAAATATAATTACAACTACTAAATAACGTTATGAAAGAATTTCGTAAAATCTTTACAATTAATAAAGGACAACCACTACAACCATCATCATCATCATCATCGTCATCATCATCATCATTACCTCCAATAACGTCATCTTCAATTCATCCATCATCACTACTATCGTTGACCAATAAATGTACTAATAGTAATAGTACTAATAATAGTAATGACGAGAAAGACATGAAGAAACAATTACAAAAACCGCGGTAAGTTTTTAATTTTCAACATTTAATTGTTTTATTCACTTTGGCTCAAATAATGAATGTAAATTATTTAATATTGACAAATTGCAATTTTATTAAACAATTCTTTAAAAAACTTTGACATTTCAAGCATAAATAAAGAATATTTTTAAAATAAGTTCTAGGAATATCTTGAATATTCTTTTATCTAATTCACTTAGTTTCTTAAAATTTCTAAAAGCTTTAATGAAATCTTTGTTGCAAATTTTGTTTGTCAAAGTATGGTATCTGATATTATTTGATGAAAGCTGTAACATTTACGTACGTATGTATGTCATAATATTACCACAATCTGAAAATTCACTCATGAATCTGTATACTGGATCATGTTTCATTTTAAACTAATAAGATACGTATATAAGTTTTGTTATTCTTTGCATTCAATTACTAGTGTATACTTATACTTTGTTATCAAAGCCAATTACATATTTCTTTGTTTATCTTTTTATGTATGGTTTGGTGATTTTCATACTGCTTGACTTGGTTTAGTAATTTTGATTTTATTACACCCGTACGAACGTATGTTCGAAGGGTATACTAAATTTGTCTTACTATTTGTAACGCTAAGAAATAATGGTCTGAGATATAGGCTCAATAGAGTTATCAAATGATAACTTTAAAACTAATTGAGCTAAGTTCACCAAATTTTCAAAAATAATTTATTATAATAAATGCCAGAACCCTCTTTGAATTGGATATGATTGAGGTACTGGTTCGGGTAGCTGCCATACAACTTCAACATTATTTGGTTATATCTTAGAAATTATAGAAGCTATAGTATTGATATTTCACACAAGCGAATATATTATTAGGGCTACTGTGTTAGGTGAAAGTAATTGAAATCGGTTGGTTTCTTCTGGTATCATACATCCTGCCATAGAACTTGTAAAGATATTAGGCTATATCTTAAAAACTGTTTAACCTAAAGTACTGAAATTTTGCAAATTAAAATATGGTAAAATGGCAGCTATATTCTTTAAAAAATGTTGAAATCTCATGACCACTTGCGATAACTGCCATACAACTTAAAAGTTTGTATAATTTAGCAAATTTAACATTTATGCTAAGTTATTATTTTATTTTCACAGGACTTTTACAGAATTTTTAAACAGAAAAACACATGATTTTTAGTTTACTTATACCTTTAACGGAGAGGGCCCTGTCGCACAAACTATTTTTACTGTTGTCTTGTTTTTTTAACTATTTAAAAAAAGCGGAATTTTTGGTTGATTAAAAAAAAGAAACAAATGGCTGACACAATATGAATTTGATATTAAGGAAAAAAGCCATTTTCCTAAATTTTCATTTTGTATTTTTTTAAACTTAAAATTTTCGGCATATGTACACAAAAACTTACTTTCTCACACCACAGAGTTGACATGGTAAACTTTATTTTTTCTGTTTTTTTTTTTTTTAATTTGAGATACATTCATGATAAAAACTCTTGGTGTTTGATTTTATGTTATTGCCCATGGAAGATTTAGATTTATTTTTGTTTTGTTTAATACTTACTTTTCTTTATTTCGAAAAATTTACTCAAACTTTTTTTTTATTAAAATTGAAAAAAAAATATAAAATATTATACTTACCTAATATTTAATAATAACTAATAAAACCACAATTTGATAAAAATTCAAAAGTAAAAATTAACATCAATATGAGAAAAACAAAAATAAGAGTAAAAATATATACATTAATTATTTAATAGTTTTATATATTTTATTGGAAAATAAGAGCAAAATAATTATTTTACTCTTATTTCGCAATGTATTTGAATAAAATAAGCGTTTTTTTATTCTTATTTTATACAAAGAAAAAGCTATTTTTAATCTTTTACAAATTATTAACCCACTTTAAATGAAAAACAATGATTTAAATGTATTCTTTTACTTATTCTACAAATATACACTAATAAGTTAAGCAGTTTTGCAAGTTATGTACATAAATGCCTACAATTTTAAAGCTCAGCAAAAAAAAATTAAATTTTTTATTTTGCATTTACGTACATACATATGTATCTAGAAAGGTAGCTTCAAATAAATCTAAATAAAAAAAATATAACCATCTATGTATATATATAAATGTATTTCTTGTGTTCCGCTTCAAGTAAGAAATAACTAAATTTACAAACAATTTTTTTTTATTTCATAAACTTTTCTAATGTACACTATTCATCATTATTAAACTTTATTGTTTAAGTCTTGCGATAATTTAATTCAAAAATCAAAAAAACTAGTTTATTTTTAGTTGCTTATTATTTTATAGCTATATACATGTGTGTTCATATGGGTGTGTTCCAAATTTATACAAACACAACTTTTTTGAAGTAGTATTGCTCAATTTTATCAATTAATTACGTGGTGCTGTACAAAAATTTCACCTAAAATTTTTTTTAGCGAACTTTGAATGAAGGAACATAAGTTCTAATAAAAATAATTTCAAAATTTGGTTTTCCCAAAAAAAAATTTCAAGTTTTATTCAAAATTTGTTATATTTTAAAATATTTTAATAGTTTACGAAAAATATGTAATGTATTTTTAAAAAGAAATAAGTAATAGAAAAATAAATAAATGGCCATTTTTGTTTTTACCGATCGGATTGCATACAATAAGAGAGTTTATGTGATGTCAATTTAGCATATCGAGTTTTCGGTTAAAGTGTACTTCTTTATAGTAGAAAAGTGTAATTAAACTATTTTTAGCAAGATGTGGATCTGTGTGTGCACGCGTGGATTTCAAATTCTGTTGAACCGATTTTGATAAAATATTAAATATGAGTTTATTTTTGCTGTGTCACGGATTAATATCATCCCTAGGGAACTAGGTTTTTATACGGGCCGATTTAACAATTTTTGCGCTTATAAAGATAAATAATCAACCAATTTCCTTGAACTTTGTTTTAACGTGTTAAATAGAGTGCACCCTATTTAACATGTTAAAACAAAAAATTTATAAATTTTTTGGAAATGTCGGTGTTTGAAAACTGAGCTAGGAAAATTGATAAAATTTTGAAATTTAATATTTGACTTGTGTTTGCTGCCGCAACTTTTAACTGATGAACTTTTAAGGGAATTCTGACGGCTTAAAGTGATTCTCCTGTATGATCCAAAACTACATTTTTCCAGGTATGTTCAAAAATCTAGCTAGCATCTTTAAAATTTGAAGGAAGTGTTCGAAAGTTATTTTCATAATCTTGTGCAACATTTTCGTTAAATAAGACAATTCATTTTGTGATCGGTTATGAACTGAGAGATGTATTTTGTAAAAAAATTCTTTTTCTGTTTTAAAAAATTTACCTTTGCTTTTTTAATTATTGTCGCGATTTTTTTTGAAATTTGCACGCGATTTTAATTTTATTTGCAAGGTGAGTTTATCTTTATTTTTTTCATGTTTATTTACATACGTTATTACTACAAAATTCTACGAAAATTTTAACAAAAAATTAAAATACCATTAAAATGAAGATTTGATACTATGCATTCTTGAATGAGAAACTGAAAGAAAATTAAATGTTATGTTTTCTATAAAATCCAAATTATTTAATGATGTTAATAAATAATATAACTTATAAATAACGGCTTCAAAATAAATATTATTTTAAATTGAACAAGTATAAAATTATATGTTGTATAAGTGCAGTAAGAATTGATTATTGATTTTGAACAATATCGATTAATGTTAAGAATGGAGAGTGTCTTATATTACTCAACAAAATAAACACAAAAAAAAAATGTGTTATATTTTCAAAGAATGAAAGAAAACAATTTAAATTATAAATAACGGCTTCAAAATAAATATTATTTTAAATTGAACAAGTATAAAATTATATGTTGTATAAGTGCAGTAAGAATTGATTATTGATTTTGAACAATATCGATTAATGTTAAGAATGGAGAGTGTCTTATATTACTCAACAAAATAAACACAAAAAAAAAATGTGTTATATTTTCAAAGAATGAAAGAAAACAATTTAAATTTAATGAAATTCAAGGTTACTGTCAAATGTGTGGTGTTACGTAAATATGGCAAAAAGTTCTTTTTATTTATTTTTTAGTTTGTTGTTAATTCATAACGCTCAAAATTTATAGCTGATATCAACATGTTTAATGAATGTCTTACTGTGTATGTATAAAGATTTTTATTGTATGTATTTGTTTTTAAAATGTTCATAAAATATATTAGTGCACGCGAAAACATAAGTATGTTGGAAAACTAATAAATTGACGTTAAATCTACAAGTCTCCCTAAGTATTCCATTCTTATTAAAAGTCCTTTGAACAAATTCATATTAAATAGTCCTTTGAACATTTTATACTAAAAATAATTAAATATAAGTCTTGTAATTTTTTTTTACGATATATATTATGATCAAGAATTGGTGTTCTATAAACATCTAATAAATTTATTTTCTAGCCTTTTTCCAAAAAGATTTTTAATAAAAAGTGCTTATTAGTTTCACTCTGTCCGTGTTTCTGAAATTTTATACATAAGTAGATCTTTACTAAAAAGTTAATTTCGCAGAAAAAGATTGCCTATGGCATTTCTTGACCATTTTAGCAGTTTTTAAATTCTGCAACCGCAGAAAAGAAGTGGTTGGCTTCTTCATCGCGGCATAGCATGATTAAACTTTAAAAAAATCAAAATGGTAAAAAAAAACAGTTGAAGAAAATTCCCTTTGAAGAAAATTTTTTTTTCCCTTCTCGAAATTTTATAAAATTTGTGTTTTTGTTACATTATATTTGCCAAACTGCAATCTTTTCCAAATTTCTATGAAGCAAAAAGCTATTTAACGTTATCATGTGTTTAAAAAATATAATTATCGTAACTCACACAATCAACCCTTGAATTCACCATTATGCTAAGTAGCATTGATTTTCTCATATTTTTTGGCTAAATGTTAACATTTCATAATGGCTACCAGAATATGGCTAAATATTAACATTTCATAATAGTTTTTATAAATTC